AATGTATTGTCCGAAGCCTTCGTCTTGCAATGTATTGTCCGAAGCCTTGGTCTTACAAGGTATTGTCCGAGGCCATGGTCTTACAATGTATTGTCAGAGGCCCGATCTTGCAATGTATTGTCCGAGGCCAAGGTCTTACAATGTATTGTCAGAGGCCTTGGTCTTACAATGTATTGTCAGAGGCCTTGATCTTACAATGTATTGTCAGAGGCCAAGGTCTTACAATGTATTGTACGAGGCCATGGTCTTACAATGTATTGTCCGAGGCCTTGGTCTTACAATGTATTGTCCGAGGCCTTGGTCTTACAATGTATTGTCCGAAGCCTTGGTCTTACAATGTATTGTCCGAGGCCTTGGTCTTACAATGTATTGTCAGAGGCCTTGGTCTTACAATGTATTGTCAGAGGCCCGGTCTTACAATGTATTGTCCGAGGCCAAGGTCTTACAATGTATTGTCCGAAGCCTTGGTCTTACAATGTATTGTCCGAAGCCTTGGTCTTACAATGTATTGTCAGAGGTCATGGTCTTACAATGTATTGTCCGAAGCCTTGGTCTTACAATGTATTGTCCGAGGCCTTGGTCTTACAATGTATTGTCCGAGGCCTTGGTCTTATAATGTATTGTCCGAGGCCTTGGTCTTACAATGTATTGTCCGAGGCCTTGGTCTTACAATGTATTGTCCGAGGCCTTGGTCTTACAATGTATTGTCCGAGGCCTTGATCTTACAATGTATTGTCCGAGGCCTTGGTCTTACAAGGTATTGTCAGAGGCCAAGGTCTTACAATGTACTGTCCGAGGCCTTGGTCTTACAATGTATTGTCCGAGGCCTTGGTCTTACAATGTATTGTCAGAGGCCTTGGTCTTACAATGTATTGTCAGAGGCCCGGTCTTACAATGTATTGTCCGAGGCCAAGGTCTTACAATGTATTGTCCGATTGTCTTACAATGTATTGTCCGAAGCCTTGGTCTTACAATGTATTGTCCGAGGCCATGGTCTTACAATGTATTGTCAGAGGCCCGGTCTTACAATGTATTGTCCGAGGCCAAGGTCTTACAATGTATTGTCCGAAGCCTTGGTCTTACAATGTATTGTCCGAGGCCATGGTCTTACAATGTATTGTCAGAGGCCCGATCTTGCAATGTATTGTCCGAGGCCAAGGTCTTACAATGTATTGTCAGAGGCCTTGGTCTTACAATGTATTGTCAGAGGCCTTGATCTTACAATGTATTGTCAGAGGCCAAGGTCTTACAATGTATTGTACGAGGCCATGGTCTTACAATGTATTGTCAGAGGCCTTGGTCTTACAATGTATTGTCCAAAGCCTTGGTCTTACAATGTATTGTCCGAGGCCTTGGTCTTACAATGTATTGTCCGAGGCCTTGGTCTTACAATGTATTGTACGAGGCCTTGGTCTTACAATGTATTGTCCGAAGCCTTGGTCTTACAATGTATTGTCCGAGGCCTTGGTCTTACAATGTATTGTCCGAGGCCAAGGTCTTACAATGTATTGTACGAGGCCTTGGTCTTACAATGTATTGTCCGAGGCTCGATCTTACCATGTACTGTCCGAGGCCAAGGTCTTACAATGTATTGTCCGAGGCCTTGGTCTTACAATGTATTGTCCGAGGCTCGATCTTACCATGTACTGTCCGAGGCCTTGGTCTTACAATGTATTGTCCGATGACCGGTTCCGAATGAGTGCTTTGTCAGTAGGTTTGTTGGTAAAAAGAAACACTACATCGTGTGGAATGAATTCCCGATTCATTTTTGATAAACACCATGGACATTTTTCTGCAAGGTATTTCGAGTTTTTGACACGGTCCTAGAATGTCTGTTAGTGACCTGCCATCTGTAGGCTGTTTATTATGTGTGGTAATTATCTATATATTTAGCATGTTTTTTTTTTTAATCCCCATGTACCGTTATTGGTAGATTTCCTTATTGGACGTTTCAATTTTGTCAAATGGCGCTCTTTGGTGGTGTCAAGTGCGACGAAAAACCAAAAAATACCCCAGACTTATCCAGAACCACCCAAAATTACCCAAAACTTATAAAAAGCCACCCAAAAACTACCCCAAACTTATCCGGAACCGCCAAAAAACTACCCCAAACTTATCCGGAACCGCCAAAAAAATACCCCAAACTTATCCGGAACCGCCAAAAAAATACCCCAAACTTATCCAGAACCGCCAAATAATACCCCAAACTTATCCGGAACCGCCAAAACAATACCCCAAACTTATCCAAAACCGCCAAAACAATACCCAAAACGCGTAAAGTATATGCAAATATGACAGATAGTGCTGAAACATACAACAATTGCGTTCAATTTAAGTCGTTTTCATGTCGCCTTTGGCTGCACAACGCTTATCTCCCCTACATCAGGACACGGAAAGAACAACAAAGAGACGCATTGACAGCGATTCTATACGATCAACAATGTATGGATCATAATTAATTAGGGTATGTTAATTAATATATGTAATGTCCATCAATCATATTTTGTGTATATAGTTCGATCACAACTGTGTAAGAAATCGTTAGTGTAAAGAGATAGAAAGGTATGTACTATCAATACAGGTATCGTTGATATATATGTAAAAATGTAATACAAACATTGATAAATTAATATTTATCTTCACATTTATTTTTGCAATATTTTACACATAATAGACATATTTCTATTCAGACAATCACACTGCCACATAATTTACATGTTACCGTGTGTTTTATCAACTTTAAGCGCTGTACAGCCAAAAACACGACATAAATGTTGCAAATTTCAGCGTTATCTACCATATTAGGATGATGAGTTTTGAGTAATTTTGAGTATTTTTAGTAGGTTTGTGTATTTTTCGGTGGTTTGGGTTAGTTTTTGGTGGTTTGGGGACGTTTTGGGTGGTTTAGGGTCAGTTTTGCGTGGTTTGGGGGGTTTAGGGTCAGTTTTGGGTGGTTTGGGGAAGTTTGGGTGGTTTTGGGTCAGTTTTGCGTGGTTTGGGGGGTTTGGGGTCAGTTTTGGGTGGTTTAGGGTCAGTTTTGGGTAGTTTGGGGAAGTTTGGGTGGTTTAGGGTCAGTTTTGCGTGGTTTGGGGGTTTGGGGTCAGTTTTGGGTGGTTTGGGGTCAGTTTTGGGTGGTTTGGGGTACTTATGGATTAGTTTCGGGTATTTCGTCCAATGGGTACCTCAATTAACTATGCCGAATTTCCACATTCTATTACGGGGAAAACTTTCTTAACATTAAAAGCCATGTTTTCATGTTACTAGTGTACGCCGTACTCGGTTTCTGCCCAGATCCCAAAATTAAAAAAATCTACATAGAATCTTCCTCTTTATAGACACACTTACACGTGTTAGATAATGGTTGGAGGATGTATAAGGTTTGTGGAGTGTAAGAGGGTTGGAGAGACGTATAAGGTTTGTGGAGTGTAAGAGGGTTGGAGAGACGTATAAGGTTTGTGGAGTGTAAGGTGATTGGTGGGACGTATGAGGTTTGTGGAGTGTAAGATGGTTGGAGGGACATATAAGGTTTGTGGAGTGTAAGATGGCTAGAGGGACATATAAGGTTTGTGGAGTGTAAGATGTTTGGAGGGACGTATGAAGTTTGTGGAGTGTAAGATGGTTGGAGGGACGTATAAGGTTTGTGGAGTGTAAGATGGTTGGAGAGACGTATAAGGTTTGTGGAGTGTAAGATGGTTGGAGAGACGTATAAGGTTTGTGGAGTGTAAGATGGTTGGAGAGACATATAAGGTTTGTGGAGTGTAAGAGGGTTGGAGAGACGTATAAGGTTTGTGGAGTGTAAGAGGGTTGGAGAGACGTATAAGGTTTGTGGAGTGTAAGGGAGAGACATAAGGTTTGTGGAGTGTAGGTTAAGGTTTGTGGAGTGTAAGATGGCTAGAGGGACATATAAGGTTTGTGGAGTGTAAGACGATTGGGAGACGTAAAAGGTTTGTGGAGTGTAAGATGTTTGGAGGGACGTATGAAGTTTGTGGAGTGTAAGATGGTTGGAGGGACGTATAAGGTTTGTGGAGTGTAAGATGGTTGGAGGGACGTATAAGGTTTGTCGAGTGTAAGGTGGTTGGAGGGACGTATAAGGTTTGTGGAGTGTAAGATGGCTGGAGGGACGTATAAGGTTTGTGGAGTGTAAGATGGCTGGAGGGACGTTTAAGGTTTGTGGAGTGTAAAATGGTTGGAGAGACGTATACGGTTTGTGGAGTGTAAGATGGCTGGAGGGACTTATAAAGTTTGTGGAGTGTAAGATGGTTTGAGGGACGTATAAAGTTTGTGGAGTGTAAAAAGACGTTGTTTGGTGACAGTTCAATGCTAGATGTTTGTGACAGAGTAATTACATGTAAGTAAAAGTTACGCATTAAATCTATAAAAAAAGCACCTGTCAATTAAAAAGAAAAAACGGAAATCTCGCTTAAGATTAGCTAAAATCAACACCATGGGATTTCTAGACAGTACTTATTAAGTGACGAAGTTATTTAGTGCTGGGAGCTACAGGATCTGATGAGAAAGGCCGTGTCATTTGTGATGTCCCCTAACTGACATGGTATCATCCATCACTAGGGACAGCCAAGGAGCATTGCGAGCTGCACAGCTACTCCTCTCTCACCTGTACGGCCAGCACATCTGTGTACGTCAACACCTGTACAACTATTCAGCACGCGAGCACGAGACGAAAGCATTGTCTTACATGATCTTCATATACACAGGTGTCGACACTTACCTGAAAATTTAACTTCTCAAACTAATTTCACACAAGGATATGTACGACGTGATATTTTCCTGGGCGAGACGGTGAAGCTGAATGTTCCTCCGGTACAAGTCTTTCTGGATTCTACATATTGGTGATGAAATAGTTTGATTGTTTAATAACGAAAGGAAAAACCCTAAATTGTGTGAAAAGGGTTACTTCCCGGACGTGGTAACATGAATAGTCTATAGATAAATTAGAATTTTACCTCTGACTTAATTTGCCACGTTCTCTTCAAACCGTTATGAACTGTCAACAAATGGCTTTTGTGTGGAGTGTGGTGTTGATGTGTTTCGTTGCAGGTAAGTTGTTGCGTGCGCAATGTGCAGTCTGTAATGTAAATGAAACGTAACTTCTGGGCACATTGTATTCAATGTGTCTGAACCCTTATGGTTTGTGGATATCTATAGTAGACAGTGTTTAAACTTTTTCTCGTTTTGCATTCAATTATTAAAAGATGTAAGAATTACAGAAACAAATATGACACGATTTTACATTTTAAGATAATCTACAAACTATAGAAAAATCTTAAAATTTATGAAAATAAATTACAAATTACAAACTATTCTGAAACATTAATATCTATGAAAATAATTATAACTTTCACATGATAATTTCTATTTTCGCTCTTTCAATCACAGTCACTTTGTTTACTTCGAATATAAATATGCTTTGCGCGACGGGGAAATAATTGCTCGCCGTTTTTATTTGTTGTGCAGTAAGTGTGTAACCGTGTGCTGTTCTCACTCAAAAGTATCATATCTTACACCGTTATAGAATAATCTTAAAATTTTAACTGAATCAGAAACAGGAAAATCCATCTGTATAATTAAACATGAAAATGGTCGTGTTTATCTGAGGATTAGCCTGTATGGTAGAGAAATACTTTATATACCCACACTTTGGCCGAGTGTTAACTACACTGATGGCTAATGAGAAATAACACATGTCATTTTATCACCGCTAGAAGCACACACAATATAGGACATTCCTATGTGAATACTGTACACGCGCCAGGATATTAAAATTTGGCATGAATAATCTTTTCTGATTTTAAGTTCATCAATAATTTCTGGTTTATTAGACTAATAAGTGCTCCAATATATTCATAGATGACAGGTGCAAATTTTTGTTCTAGTATAACTTTTAATTGTTATGCTATAAAAACGAACTCTAGGATAAATACACATCATGGATATTATACTGACAATGCTTGCCACGAGCTTAAATGAACATATCGTACTACAGATAGATAATGTCATTCTGAACTACAGGTTGATAAAGTCATACTGAACTACAGGTAGATAAACTCATACTGAACAACAGGTAGATAAAGTCTGAACGACAGGTAGATAAAGTCATACTGAACTACAGGTAGATAAAGTCATACTGAACAACAGGTAGATAAAGTCATACTGAACTACAGGTAGATAAAGTCTGAACGACAGGTAGATAAAGTCATACTGAACAACAGGTAGATAAAGTCATACTGAACTACAGGAAGATAAAGTCTGAACGACAGGTAGATAAAGTCATACTGAACTACAGGTAGATAAACTCATACTGAACAACAGGTAGATAAAGTCATGCTGAACGACAGGTAGATAAAGACATACTGAACTACAGGTAGATAAAGTCATACTGAACAACAGGTAGATAAAGTCATATTGAACAACAGGTAGATAAAGTCTGAACGACAGATAGATAAAGTCATACTGAACAACAGGTAGATAACAGATACATTTAGATGAAATCAGTTGTTACTATTAATAGATGAAGTATATCTACCCTACCAGTAGTTGATATGATGCTGTTCTATTTTAGGCAAGTTAAGGATGTGATTACTGTAGTTGCAGATCTTCAATCTTTAGCCGTCCGGTTTTTTTTTTTCGGAGTCATTAGCCGTCCTATTATGTTTGTGAAGATTATATTATTATTCCTCTGTGTAGTAGTGTCACTAGTTTGTACATTATGACATATATAGCCGACTTGGTCGTAATGTTGTATGTGTTGTCGAATTGATATGTCCACGCTGATAATTAGTACCACTGATAGTGGTGATTCTATTTATAATCTTGGGTCGAGTATTTGTTTATCTAGAAGTTTGCTATGAGTCCAGATTTTAGTGAAAGAAATTTCCTAACATGCTAGAAAATTAGTTCCAATTTGTTTGTTTCGAGAAACTTGCTATTGTTCTGTAACTATTTTTTCGCGAGAAGTTTGGTGAACTGTGAAAGGCATATTTCAATTTTCGGGGTCAGGATTACCCTATAAACCGCTGGATAAACTACAGGTCCTTGGCCTATCAGCTGATCTATACACGGCACTGACCACATCTTAACTGTAAGTAACTTAAAGTGACTAGGTTTGCGTGGGTGAAGGTTCTGCCTGAAGTAGCCCTACCAGTAGGGTTTTTTCACTGTGTGTGGAGTCACGCTTTACAAGGATATTCGGTGTTGCCATTAGTATGGACAGATTCACCAATTTAGGACAATGATTTAGTAGGAACATCCGATATCAATATTAAGACGCAAAAATTAGTCGCTGCCCTGAGGGACATCCTATACGATCCACGGAGACGATAAATAAACATTGCTGTCACACCGAACCGGTCAAAAAGCATGCCGGCATCCTTACAAGGAAACAAAGTAATCGTCGTTTTGACATTAATGTGGCTTCCAATATTTTTATAAGAAAATATAAGATCTGTATCACACTGCCGCGAAACCGATTGTGAATATCTGCACATTCCAGTTACATCCGTTACCAACCAAAAAAACGCAAATAGGAGATTTCCAACAGTTTTAAAAAGAAAGTCGCAAAGGTTTACTTAAGTATATAAATAACCAGCCCCATGACTGTGTTGACACTCTCTTAAGCACTGTAAAATCACAATAAAAATGTAATTTAGATAACTAACGGACTGATTAATCATGTCCACGGCCATTCGTCTTCACACCACATTGCGTAATTGGCCGGAAGGCGTTACGCATTGACTTTCGGAAATCAGTCTATGTATAGTGCGGAGACACTATTTGGTAACTTGTCACGTCCTGTGGCTTCACTAGTGTTGTCTGTGGTAATGGCATTTACAAAATACACGTTATCTGACGGGACAATTGTGTCACCTATGATCTAACAAACTTCTGTCGAGACTTAATGTGTGTTTCTGACGTCTTAATCAATAAACCAAATTCAAATTTTTTTTTTTCGTTTTCTTTTTGTTTTAGGTTAAGATGAACAATCACCACTGTTGTGTGCTTTAACGACCAATAGTGATTAGCTAGCAGTAACAAAACTTTTAATTGAGTAGGTTTTGTTTCTAATTCGAAAGGTCGAAAAGTACAGTTCGACTGTATCAGACTTAATACGTTGTACTCAAAAAGAAGGAAAAAACTTCTAACCTTTGGATAACTTCAGGTCGTCCAATAAAAAAGATTCAAAATCACGAGTCAATGGGGCGTGTACGGACACATTGAGAAATCTATGGTTTTGGTGTTTGAACATATATATGTTATTATCCTAGAGTTATAAGTATGGCGTTGCGCGTACCTAGAAACATTGATTTGTTATTATATAATATGTGTGTGTCACTTCTTCTTCTCCCGAAATATTGATAGGAAACTGAACAAACCTAGAAACATTGATTTATTAATATATGATATGTGTGTGTCACTTCTTCTTCTCCCGAAATATTGATAGGAAACTGAACAAACCTAGAAATATTGATTTATTAATATATGATATGTGCGTGTGTCACTTCTTCTTTTCCCGAAATATTGATAGGAAACTGAACAAACCTAGAAACATTGATTTATTAATATATGATATGTGTGTGTCACTTCTTCTTCTTATTGATAGGAAACTGAACAAACCTAGAAACATTGATTTATTAATATATGATATGTGTGTGTCACTTCTTCTTTTCCCGAAATATTGATAGGAAACTGAACAAACCTAGAAACATTGATTTATTAATATATGATATGTGGGTCACTTCTACTTCTCCCGAAATATCAATTGAAACATAATTTAAAGAGTAATGGGAATAGGTCGGATCTACATCGCTGTTTACTTAAATGATCCACATTCTATTTAGATGATTTGCATAAAGTTTGTATCTTAGTTTTGGCATCGAGATGTTAAGACCTAATCTATATCTTCTCTTTGTATCTATAGGAACCAGCGGAAGGAGATCTTGTCCCGCAGGGCGCCAAACAGGTAATCATCTTCACTCCTGCCTGTTTTGTTTTTGTTTTGTTTGTTTGTTTGATTTAAGGGATTTTTTGCTCTTTGGATTCTGGAACGTGAGTTCATATCAACAAAGATGAAATGGCAGGAAACGGTCTGTTAACCATACTAGCATGAAAATATATTAGTAAAAAAAACCATTAAAATCGCTGAAACAGGGCTGGCCTGGTATTATTGATCACAGACTAGAGATGCCGGAGTTTGACACAAAGTAAGAACACGTGACTTGGCTCGTTGTTGTATTTCGTTTTTCGCAATTTTGCGCCATATTTCTCAAATATCATGAACTGGAGCTATATTTTCCGAAATCTGCTGTTTGACGCTGTACTTTACAAACATTGCTGTTTTTTGCAATATTTCTAAATTGTTGACAATAATAAGAGATAGACAAAACATAAGAAAAAACAAAATATGATCAATAACATTACTGCTAGATGTAAATTGAACTTTTCATTTAGGTGTAAAATTTCCTCAAACCAGAGAAAAAGGTCGACACGTCGATATTTGTCAATTCGACGTCATATTGAATGCAAGATATACAATATGTGCATCACAGGGGCGAGCGATGGTAATTCTATATATAGACTGTTTTACTTGCATATCTAAGTATATAACTGTGGATTTTTTTGTCATATCGTTCCGTTTTTGATTATTATTCCTCGCGCTTAATTGAATGTGCTTTAATCCTGATTGGTTAAAATCTCCTTTTTTCGGACAAGTTTTTGGTATTATGGATTTCAAATGTATGTGTATGTTAACTTTACTTGATTAAATCATTCCACCTGTACGTTTTAAGGTATATTTTGTAGGCCAGGATACTTTTTAACCAGTCGTTAAGTTAGACGTTCACAATCCTCGCTGTAGAAAGTTCCAGTTAACCAGCTGTCCATGACAGTCCCACACTCGCTACCAAGAAACTCACGCTAATAAATGTTATATTTTTGTTGCGCTACATCATTATTTCAGGGCCTTCTCTATCTAAGCTGGCTTTAGGTCTCTTTAACACAGTTTGGCATTTTATCATCTGGTCACCCACACAATGGACTAGTCAAGTAAAACTATTGAACAGGTTAAGGCAATTTCAAATTCATTATTGTTACCATCTGAATATCGAGATATAAAATATATTTATGATAAAATTTTATTTAAAACTGCGACGAAAGAGATTTGACAAAGGTGTCTGTGTGTACTTTTGGCTGGCGACATAATTCACCAGCTAGTCCCACACTTTATGTTTGACCGATCCAGACCTGTTTAGAGTTGATTACTTTAGACGCAGAAGCACCACACTAGTCACTTTGACAACAAAGGTGTCCCTTGTATCATAAACAGTGCCATATATGTCTATCTCTAACTTATTTAAGGCGTTGATCAGTGATGGCCAGTCAAGGTCACTCTACGGTCATTACATTTTGCACACAGAAAGGCGATTTAGGTGTCTGTACGAAACATAAAAACTGACCACAGATATCTGAACTGACCCTCCCTTGTATGCAGGGAGACAAAATGATCACGGTGTTGTGAGTGTTGGGGACATAAACAGAAATATGTATGTGTCATCACAACATTTAGTAATTAGCACCAATGTAACCTGAAAGGTTTATACTTCTGTCTACAAACAAAATGTAAAGTCTCGCGAGACATCTTCTGTCTACATACAAAATGTAAAGTCTCGCGAGACATCTTCTGTCTACATACAAAATGTAAAGTCTCGCGAGAATATCTACTGTTTGCAGACGGTAAAGACTCACGAGACATATTCTGTTTACAGACGGTAAAGACTCACGAGACATCTTCTGTTTACAGACGGTAAAGACTCACCAGATATCTTCTGTTTACAGACGGTAAAGGCTCACGAGACATCTTCTGTTTACAGACGGTAAAGACTCACGAGACATATTCTGTTTACAGACTGTAAAGACTCACGAGACATATTCTGTTTACAGACGGTAAAGACTCACGAGACATATTCTGTTTACAGACGGTAAAGACTCACGAGACATCTTCTGTTTACAGACGGTAAAGACTCACGAGACATCTTCTGTTTACAGACGGTAAAGACTCCCCAGATATCTTCTGTTTACAGACGGTAAAGACTCACGAGACATCTTCTGTTTACAGACGGTAAAGACTCACGAGACATCTTCTGTTTACAGACGGTAAAGACTATTCTGTTTACAGACGGTAAAGACAGACATCTTCTGTTTACAGACGGTAAAGACTCACTGTTTACAGACATGTTCTGTTTACAGACGGTAAAGACTCACGAGACATCTTCTGTTTACAGACGGTAAAGACTCACGAGACATCTTCTGTTTACAGACGGTAAAGACTCACGAGACATGTTCTGTCTACAGACGGTAAAGACTCACGAGACATGTTCTGTCTACAGATAAAATGCAAAAACTGGCAAGACACCTTCAGTCGTCAAACAAAAAAATCTCATTTAATTAAGAAATCAATAATCTTAATGAAAGATTGAAATTAAGTAATTAAGTGTTCGCTTGGCTTTGATATGTAGAAGATATGGTAACTTTTTTTCACACCTTTCTCATCCCTAAAATATTTCTCAATAATTTTTGTTTACACACGCGCTGACTCAAGACTAGACTAAATAAATCATTCAAGTTCTTTTCTATAAGAACATTTTGTACTCTGTTCCTTACCAAAATCTACAGGTAATTGATGTCGTCACAGTGAAGGTGGCTGTGTAGGTATTACATATGTGTTACGGGAACTGTCAATCATCAGGTAGCTTTAGACAGGTGGAAATGTCTCTGTTGGTGATTACTCTCACTGACAGCCCAATCATCGATAAATCATGAGAGTTCGATTAGGGAACATGCTTACCTTACGGAGTTATTGAACGTACGTATTACGGGGCGTGGCAGATACATGTAGTATAGGTATGGATGTAGTTTAGGCTCATAGATTACAAAACATCTGTTTACATAGATTTCTTACTATGAGAAAAAGGGAGATATATATCATTTAATTACATTTCATTTAGAATAACTTAGATACCCACGGAATTGTCGCTTTAAAGATGCCATTGACATTATTCAAAGTTTAGAACATTTTGTTAGATGGTTTTGATCCCCGCACGTGACGACGTCACTTACAAATCTTTGACAAAGATCTTAAGTTGATTAATCTAGTTCATCCAGGCGCTTGATCACGTCTTAATTTAATAGACAAAAAGAGTCTGGTGGAAGGAGATTCTGTTACAGTGCCCTAGATTTTTATTTTCGCGACGGGTCGTGCGTACCACTTGGAACAATGTTCCGAGGCCGAAGATGACGCAGTTATATTTCGCAAGATTTTAGGGACAAAGAGGGAACGTATCCGCCATCGATCGATTCATGACTTAAATTTGAAGAAAGTTATATTGAAACTAATATCGCATAGAGTCTGAGCGGAAAACTTTACCAAGTATACCACTGTTTACGAGAGATACAGGTAACTGTGTTAAGTTTAACCCCGTGAACGACTAGAGGACAATTCAACAGGATGTCTTACTCAACACTGCGGTGAAGTAAAACGCAAAACATTCCACCTCATTAAACTTCCTGTCAAAAAAATGTTAACGGAAATGACGTAACCGGATATGAGACCTTCAATTGCACTTATTTTTTTTATCGTCATCAGTTTTCCAGCAGCACGCTGCATATGTTGTGAATGATTCTTTCTTTATATGACTGTCACAGCTGTCATTTACCATAAAGGGATACGATGAGCAATCACGTGATTAAGATACGGAGATTTAATGAAAAAACAAAAAACAAAAAATGGAAACATGTGAATACACAAATAAACAAGATAAAACCATGTTCTACACGACAAGATGCACATCACTGGAAGTTAAATGAGTCCCATAATTTATCACAGTGACCTATTTTACACCTAAACCTGGAAAACCTCCACTAATTTTCGAAATCTGTCTATACACGTGTTAAGCTGCACCCAACACCTTCTATGTTAAATATTAGTTGTGTCCCCCTCGGCTACTGTCAGAGTGACCGTGGTCAAGTTTCACAAGAACTTGTCACAGATTGGCGACACGCTGGAGATAAAATGACTAAATTGTAAGACTAAGTGTCCATTTGTTGTCATATTTGGCATAGACAGGTGTCCACTGAATGACCAATCGTAAATCCATGAAGGAGTTACGTCATATACTTGATCAAAGTGGCCCGCCATTAGACTGACAACAAACACTAATGATCATTAGTTCGATTATATCGACAACATCAATGAAATATTTAGTTTTAAAAGTTATATACTTGTTTCAACTTTATATTTTAATACAATAAGGTGAAGTTTCCGGTTGTACCAGGTCGTTTGAAAATTCTAATTCCTGTTATATATAAAACATCTATTATGAAAGCAAATTTCGATGTCTTGTTAAGATGGCGGTTTTAACCAGTGATGTTTGTGATAGATTTAAATAGTTATATCCAGGTTATAAAAATTGAGGGCGCCTACCTAAAGGTCTATGATGTTTGTGGTAGATTTACCTAGTTAAAAAAATGTATATCCAGGTTATACAAAGCGAGGACGCCTACCTAAGGGTTTGTGATGTTTGTGGTAGATTTACCTAGTTCTATCCAGGTTATACAAAGGGAGGACGCCTACCTAAGGGTTTGTGATGTTTGTGGTAGATTTACCTAGTTCTATCCAGGTTATACAAAGGGAGGACGCCTACCTAAGGGTTTGTGATGTTTGTGGTAGATTTACCTAGTTCTATCCAGGTTATACAAAGGGAGGACGCCTACCTAAGGGTTTGTGATGTTTGTGGTAGATTTACCTAGTTCTATCCAGGTTATACAAAGGGAGGACGCCTACCTAAGGGTTTGTGATGTTTGTGGTAGATTTACCTAGTTCTATCCAGGTTATACAAAGGGAGGACGCCTACCTAAGGGTTTGTGATGTTTGTGGTAGATTTACCTAGTTCTATCCAGGTTATACAA